CCACTCAGCCCCCCGCCCACCGCTCTCCCCTGCGGGGGCAGGAGGCAGAAGCTTGGTCCTGCGGCAGCCAAGCTTCCCTCCTCCCCCGCTTCTTCGCACAACGTGCATTCCGGCCCCTCCTCCTCGCAGAGGAGCAGAGCCGAGCGCAGCGTGCTCGCTGCTCCGTAGAGGAGGCAGAGAGAGGTAGGGACGGGCCTGGGGGAAGGGGGTGGAACAGGTCATATTCCTCCCAGCCCCCTGCCATGAGCCGCTCAGGGCAGGGGGCTGGGAGCACCCCCACGAGCAGAGCACCCCAGCCTTCTGCCCTGCACCCCCCCCCCCCACCCAGGCCTCTGCCCTGAACCCCCCATCCAGCGGGCTGAGCAGGCTGGCGGCGTAAGATCAGCATTTTAATTTAATTTTAAATGAAGCTTCTTAAACATTTTGAAAACCTTGTTTACTTTACATACAACAATAGTTTAGTTATATAATATACACTTAGAGAGAGACCCCTTCTAAAAAAACGTTAAAATGTATTACCGGCACGCGAAACCTTAAATTAAAGTGAATAAATGAAGACTCGGCACACCACTTCTGAAAGGTTGCCTACCCCTGAACTAGCGCATACTAACCCAGGCTAGTTCTATCTTTTTTCCTTTTTCCTTCTTGTTCACTGTAGTCCTCCTTCCCCACTCCTGCCCCATCTAGTACATTTTCTTTCTACTTCCTTTGCCTTGCCTTTTCTTAAAACTGGGGGAGCTGTATCTGCCCTCTCTTATGCTGAGTCTTCGCTCTTTACTGTTGCATTATAAAGTGGGAGTTGATATCTTTCTGGTGTGGCTCTGGAGCTCACTCATGGGACAAAAGTGGCTTGACAAAGCTACCCTAAATAAGCAGGGCGGTGGAAGTAGGATTATACTAGCAAGGAGGTTATTTCTAACACTATACGTACTGGGCAGGTCTACACTACAGCAGGAATTGATGCTCTGAGATCGAGCCACCGGCGGTCGATTTAGCGGGTCTAATAAAGACCTGCCAAATAGACTGCAGGTCGCTCTCCAGTCGACTTCTGTACTCTACCCCCGACAAGAAGGCCTGGTCTACACTGGGGGGGGAGGGTCGGGTCGATGTAAGATACGCAACTTTAGCTACGGGGATACCGTAGCTGAAGTCGACATATCTTATTCCGACTTACCTCCCGTCCTCACGGCGTGGGATCGACGGCCGCGGCTCCCCCGTCGACTCCGATACCGCCACTCGCTCCGGTGCAGTTACGGAGTCGACGGGGAGCGCATTCGGGGATCGATATATCGCGTCTTAACGAGACGCGATGTATTGATCCCCAATAAATCGATCACTACCCGCTGATACGGCGGGTAGTCTGGACGTATCCGAAGAGTAAGGTAAGTCGACGGGAGATTTTCTCCCATCAACCCCCCACAGTGTAGACCCCGCAGTAACTCGACCTAAGGTATGTTGACTCCAGCTACGTTATTCATGTGGCTGGAGTTGCGTAGCGTAGGTCGACTTACCACAGTAGTGTAGACATAGCCACTGTGAGCTATGATAGAGGCACTATGAACAGAGTAAAGCTGCCCCATACCTGCTAACATCATACCTGATGTTTCATTACTCTGATCCTCGCTGTATTTTTGGAAGGCTCCTTGTGGATGGGAGAAGGAGAGGTGGCTCTCTGAGTCTTTCTCCCAGCAGCGAAACACTCTGAGGTGAATACTTCCTAAGGCCCTCTCCACACTGAAGAGAACTATTAGCCAGCTCCCCCTGCTGGATCAGGGGCTTTAAAACATCAGTAGAGAGAAACCAGTATCTTCACCACTTCAGCAGGCTTGGGGGTGGGTGTTGAGCAGCAGCACCAGGGACTCCTCCCAGGCCTGGTGGGAACAGGGAATTGAAAGGAGGACCTGCAGAGCTGGTAGAGAGGAATACTCCCTAATCAGCTTTCTGATCAAAGGTCTGAGTGATCCCTGTCCTTTGTTTACACAGTGGTATAGGGAAGTGGGAGCACAGTTTGATGTCCATGCTGGAAGAGGAAGCGCCTCAGCACGTGCAGGAGATTTCATTGGCTATCCTTTGCTCTCATGTTGTGTGATTAGGAAGGCAGCCAACAGAGTTGTCTCCACTGATTCATGCATTTTCCCTGTAGGACCTGTATGAAGGTCTGAAAACTGTAGTTTATAGGAAAAAACCCTAGAGTTGGCAGGACTGATGCCAAAGTAGACAGTAAAGATACCCCGTTTAGGCCATGTTTACACTACAGCGGCACAGCATAGTCCAGCAGTTCTCAAACTGTGGGTTGGGACCCCAAAGTGGTTCAGGACCCCATTTTAATGGGGTCGCCAAGGCCAGCATTAGACTTGCTGGGACTCAGGGCTGAAGCTGAAGCCCGAGCTCCACCCTCACCCCAGGCAACAGGGCTCGGGCTCCCTCCCTCCCCCCCGTTTCATATAGTACCTTTGTTGTCAGAAGAGGGTCCTGGTGCAATGAAGTTTGAAAACCCATGGCATAGGCACTTCCTATATTGATTGAAGGGGTTTTTCCATAGCTGTATGTAATCTACCTCTCTGAGAGGCAATAACTAGGTTGATGGAGGAAGTCTTCTGTTGATCTAGCTGCAGCTACTGTGGGGATAGGGTCAACCTAAACAGGTTACACATGGTGCAAAACTTTTCATAGCCCTGAGCAATGTAGCTAGGTTGACCTAAGTTTTAGGTGTAGACTAGGCCTACGCTAGACAAATTGGGGTTTGCTGCAGGGAAACAGGTCAGGAATAGGAAGGTAGATGTGTTTTTTGTCTTCCATGATCATCTACATACCTATTGGCTCTGGCTACTAAAATCCTCCACCACATCTTCAGTATTTTGCCTTCAAAGGTGATCTGTGGAGGTGCAATGTGCTTTTACCCAGGTCACCAAACATTTTATTTGAGTATTGCGGCATACCTGTTTCATTTTTTTTTTTTAAATACTTTTGCACATTCAGAGATCCACCAGTTAAATGTATGCTTCATCTCTAGGATGTTCCTAGTTATACCCCATAACTTGCACTTTACTAGATCTGAATACACATCTAATTAAAAAGTGTGTGCATATGTTCACCACGCCTCAGAAAATGTGTATTGTGGTTTTTTATAACTTGTGGAACTGATTCCTGTTGACTCCTTACAAGTAGCATAGGAGTCTAGAAGTGCACTGAGATTGGTTGGAGAACGTTAGAATTTTACTTGTAGCAATAGCTAATTTGCATTGAAATACTGGCCATGCAAAATGCCTGAAGATAGTATTCATGGTGTTTGATTTAATATATGTAAACAGCCAGGGTAATTTTGTCTATTTCAGATGATAAAAAAGACATTGACCATGAAACAGTGGTGGAAGAACAGATCATTGGCGAGAACTCTCCACCTGATTACTCAGAGTACATGACAGGAAAGAAACTTCCTCCTGGAGGAATACCTGGCATTGACCTTTCAGACCCCAAGCAGCTAGCTGAATTTGCTAGGTAAGTCACAAAAGAGCATCTGTTAAATCTAAAATGACTATCATTCCATTGTTTTCTTAAATAAAACCTTCATGAATACTAGTTGTCAAATTACTTTTGCCTGTTCCATTGTGACCTATATTACTTCACGTAAAGAGCCTGTGAAACAAGCAGTTAAAAGTAGCAGGAACTTGGGTCCTTATAACACAGTATTCTCAATATTTTGTTTCCATTTCCCAAATGCTATAGTCTTTTAAATATTTGATTTTTATCAATGCCAGATAATTTTCTTACTCTTTAGTCTTTGTGGCAGACAGGAATCAGATACCTTGAGAAGTTACATCTTTACACATGTCCTTACTATTGCTGTTTTGAAAGATTACCTGGGACTAAAAATGCATTTGAGTGAGAGGTGGCTACTTCCTTGTTAAATTTGACAAATCAAACGTGCAACACTCAAAAGTTGTCCAGTACAATAAGAACAGGCCAGTAGTGTTCAGTATGAAGATCTAATTATTAATTTTATTTTCATTCTTGACCACCTCAACCCCTATCAATGTTTGTGGGTTCTACAACTTGCTCCACTATATCAAATTTAGTTTTCAACAGTTGAGAAACTACAAAACCAATCTGTTGATCCTTTTTTTTTCTTCTTAGTAATGGAAAATATCTTTTGTATTGTGTTTATCGCAAAAAACCTTAACATAAAAAAAAAATGGTAAAAGTTGCATAGTCAGCACTTAAAAGTTTAGGAAACATCAGTTCAGGTTGCCTGTGCAATCTTAATTTGGCCCATTGTGCATATGCATTATGATACAGCATCTAATTACATGATCACTCACTGGTTGAGTGTGTAGGCATCCTTAATTCTGGCATTTCCTAAACTTTGAGCATTTGAGTAATCTTGTTTTTAAAACTGAAATATTAGCCCATGTGGTACGGTACCACATGATTTGTCAGCAAGGCTTGGGGAACATTAGATCCACAGCCCAGATTTCTACTACTTGAGGCAATAGCGAAATTAGTAGCAGTAGTCAGCTGTTACCTCTGTATGGGCCAGCCACTAGAAGGGGAAGAGATGTACAGTAGAACCTCAGAGTTACAAACACCAGAGTCACGAACTGACCAGTCAACCACATACCTCATTGTGAACCATAAGTACACAACCAGGCAGCAGCAGAGACCACCAAAAAAAAAAAGCAAATACAGTACTGTGTTAAACGTAAACGACTAAAAAAAAAAAGGAAAGCAGCGTTTTTCTTCTGCATAGTAAAGCTTCAAAGTTGCATTAAGTCAATTTCAATTGTAAACTTCTGAAAGAACCATAATGTTTTGTTCAGTTACGAACAATCTCCGTTCCCAAGGTGTTTATAACTCTGAGGTTCTACTGTAACTTCTGCCAGTGGAATTCACAGCTGTTTGCTAGACCGCAGGGGAATCCTGGGTTCCATTCCAGGTTTTGGTGGGGAGTGTACATAGACCCTTCTGTCTCTGCTCCCTCTGCTCCTGTTCCCCTTCCATAGTCTACCTCTGCTGTTGTCATCCCCTTATGCTGCTTAGATGCTAGCAGAGTAGCACTGAGAAAACCGTATACAGTCTTCCTGCTGTTGTTTCTGGTATCAAAGTGGCTCCCCAGCAGCTGGGAGGAACAACTGTGGGAAAAATGTTTGTCTCCATGGTGCGTCATCCTCAAATTTTGAGCATGCCCCATGTGCCGTTCAGCTGGCCTGTAGGAACTGTGTGGCAATAGAGTATGCTCAGTGCATATAAAATCTGACTGTAAGGCTGCCAGCCTTTACCGAAAATGTGAAAACTGCAATTTCCCCCCCTCCCTCCCAAATTCTTATATGTTGGCCAAATTTGTGCAGACTTTCACAAGGATAGCAAAAGGTACATTGCTGACATGATTGGAGCATGGACTTGAAATATGATAGTCAAAGTGTGGAGGTACTGGAGCGTCTCAAATGGTGGTAAGAATTTTTTAATATGGGCAAAAATATATATTTTCCCTGTCCTGATGCTAGTGTCAGGAAGGAGTTAAAATTCAGCCAGGAAAAAAAAAAAAACTGCTAAAAATCAAGGATATAGTTTCTGTCAATACATCATAACTTAGCATTGTTCTTTCTTACCGATGAACTGACCACCGTCAAGGCCCCCAACTTTCTGTAAGCACTCATCCCTCCCCCTCCCCACTCCAGCTCTTCGCTCTATCCCGAAAGTAGTCACAAATAACTGATGTAATCAAAATGGGTCTATAAGTATATTGTTCCTACTGTTATCTTTGTTTAAAAGTTTTTTCTTTATAACAATGTTTTCCCCTATAAATACAAAATAAATGCAAATAAATTAATAAAATGTATATAACTGGCCACTATGGCACCATATTTTTAAAGCTGCTTGTCAGTCTTCCCGATACTGTAAATAAACCCCCTTCAATATAATCTATGCTTGCCAAATTCTTAAAAAAAAAAAAAAAATTCTTTTGCCTAACACTGGGCAATGTTTCAACTGTGGGATTTATTTATTTATTTATTTATTGGAAAAAAATTTCCAGTAAGTCAGCCTGCAGCAGACATGAAAAAGTTCAGCCTGAACATTAACTATAGGTGGTTCCATCTGTGTGGCTTATAATATTTCATAACAACTTATGAAGTGTTGGTGTATATACTCCTACATTTGCTATCGGTCATAATAAACTAATTTCAAAAAATAAGATTACGTTACAAGAAAAACACTTGCTTTGATCTTAACTTATGTCGGTATTATCTAGAATTTTTGTCAAAGCAAGTTTAGTTCTGTATGCTATCCCGCATATACATATTGGTGTGGGTTGCATCCATCAGGCTAGTATCTGGGTGTTCGTTTGTTTTTAAAATGAATTTAAATGTTTGGTTCTGTTGTGCTACTTTATAACTGAGTGTGGTTACCTGCTACAGAATCTATTTAATGCTCCTCTAAGTTTTTTTTTTTATGTGAATTATTCTTGCAAATACTGGATGTTGCTATGCTGTGGCTTGTCTGACTACTCAAACTGTTCTCTTACTGATGAATTGTCCGTTGTCAGGGTTATTTTTTTGAGGTTTTTAGCTTTAACTGGCACATGGCTTCTGTTGGGTCTTTTTTACTAAAAAATAATAATGTACTGCATATGTTAACTTACAGAGAAAGAGACTTCTAAGCAAATATTGATAATGTTTTCAAATTATGAACTAATTTTTTGCTATCCTAGAATTTGTAGCAAGTATCATTATAAATCAACAGGCAAATTAAGTTTTTGAGCATACAATTGCTATTCAGATTTTCCTTGAAGTCACTTATGTCTTTACAATTATTCCATCTGTTTTTATACTGGTGCCATTCCTGTGGTATCTGAACACCTTAGGAATGCTGTCAAAATTGACAAGCCTCAAACTTGACTTACCAACCATTATGTGTTCATTACAGTCAGGAAAACCCAATCATGTCACCGCCTGCTAGTATGATTGTGTTGAATATGAAGAATAGGATGGGCAAAACCTTTCTAAAACAGTGAACGCTTAGAGGTTTTCAGTCAGTAGAGCATCACTTTCAAGAAATCCCTTCCTTCTTTTTGTTACCACCTTTGCTGTTGTGTTGTAAAGTTTATACGGCCAGTTTTAGAGAGAACTAGTGACAATGTGTATAATTCAGTTTTATGAAACTATGGATGGATGGCACAGTAAACAAGTTCTAATCTTCTGATGCCCATGCATTGCTGTTTAGGGCCTCAGTCCTGTTTGTGTTTGGGTCAATGGGGGGTGGGGAGGTGGGGGAAATCAACTTGAACGATGCAGGATCAAGCTCTAATTTTCCCTTGGTTAAAGTTTACTACTGATTCAGTTTTTACCTTGATTAAGATACCCAAGTGCAAGGAAAGGGAACCGTGAGTACGGAACAGGAAGAGAATAAAAAGTGAGATAATTGAAATTTGACGATTGATTAGGGCATATGAAGGGCTTGGCGGCTTGTTTTTGCTACAGTAGCAAATGGTCATATTTAGTGTGTGGTTTCTCAGTTATAGTGACTTAAGGATTTCTAAAATTTTACTCATCTAGTAATACTTTGAAAGTGACAGTGAACTTGAAATCCAGTCAATTTAAAGAATTGATGAAGTAATTTATGGTACCAAATCTACCCAAGTCCCATTGGCAGTTTTCATGGTTTAACAATCCAGTCATATTTTACTAGCTTTAAAAATGCGTTTTCTCTTCCTTGTTGCTGTGTACAAACTTAAAGGGGAAACGGGAAAACTGGCTAGACAGTGTTATGTAGGGCTGCTGTGGTTGCCTCCATTCCTTAAATTGATAGGAGGATGTGCAGTAGTGATTTGCAGAAATCACCTTACCAAGTTCACTATTGAGGCATCTTATTGATCCTCAAGAACGAAGTTCTGAGGCTAAGGTTCATTTCCAAATCCACAGGCAGCTGTGGGTCAGTTAACACTATAGGTGCCCTTGGGTAACGTAGCAGAATTTTTTGCATGCTCATCTGTAATACATTCTGCTACTCAAGCCTTTATGTTGGGATTGCAGTCATGTTTAGTGGTCAACTTCAGACAAACTTCCAGTATTTAGGACATCTCCTATCACTTTTTTTTTTAAAGATGCCATTTCACTCTCTCTCTCTCTCTCTCTCTTAAAATCTAATCTCTGTTGAGAGCATGTGTTGCTGTTACAGTGAGTAGCCAGATTGTCCCTTAAAATGCATTTGCCCTATAGCTTGCAGTGGTGGTGATGGTTGTTCCTTTGTCTCTGATGTATGGAGCTGGAATATTGGACCCTTGTTTAAACCTTGCAGGAACTAGTACAGCTGTGCCTGAAAGTAGTTCATAATTTCTAAAATAGCTGAAAATATTGTACACCTCTACCCCGATATAACGCTGTCCTCGGGAGCCGAAAAATCTCACTGTGTTATAGGTGAGACCGTGTTACATCAGGGTAGGGAGCGGCCCCGCCCCCCGCCCCAGCTCACCTCCATCTCTGCCTCCTCCCACAAGAGCGCTGCAGCTCCGCTTCTCCCCCCTCCCTCCCAGGCTTTCTGCGCCAATCAGATGTTTGGCGTGGCAAGCCTGGGAGGGAGGAGAAGCGGAGCTGAGCAGCGTGCTTGTGGGAGGAGGCGGCGGCGGCAGAGCGGAGGTGAGCTGGGGCGGGGTGCGGTTCCTCTGCACCCCCCCCCTTACTTGCTGCGGCCCCCCTGCCCCAGCTCACCTCCGCTTCGCCCCCTCCCAGGCTTGCCACCCCAATTAGCTGTTTGGCGTGGCAAGCCTGGGAGGGAGGAGAAGCAGAGCTGCGGCGCGCTTATGGGAGGAGGCGGAGCGGAGGTGAGCTGGGGCGGGGGGAGCCACAGCAAGTAACGCAGGCGCAGAGGAATCGCTTGCTGTAACACGAATTTGGATATAACGAGGTAAAGCAGCCCCATCCCCCGGAGCGCTGCTTTACCGCGTTATATCCTAATTCACGTTATATAGGACCGCATTATATCGGGGTAGAGGTGTGTATATAACAAGTTACATCAGAATAGTGTGATCTGTTGGGTAGCACTATCCAGTTAAGGCACATTCTGACGTGAATGGATGCATAAACTTTAGTTGTCCTTGTCACTTCCAAATCTTTATACAGGGTTTATGAAGAGTGCTGGCATTATTTGTGTTTAAACAGGACCAGAAAATATAAGTAACTATATACCTCAAACAGTGTGACTGATAGCAGATTTTTTTTCTCTTCAGTTTGCTTATTACAGGCCAACAATTGTTTGGGGATTTAAAATTTAAAATGTGAATGATTTTAAGCTCTTTACATGGTCTACTATTTAATCGATACACTCCTATAGATTTTATGTCTTTGCATGGGATGGTGAGAATCCCCTTAAACGAAAGACTAAAATGGAGCATTTTCTAAATTTGGTGTTAAGCGAAACTTATGTTGAAGTATAAAAATTCCATGATTGTCTGGAACCTAGTGGAAGTAAACAGTAGCTGTAATTCTGGCAGTTATGAACAGTGGTGGCTTATTTTTCCCTTTTCTTTTTAAAAAAATAAATACATTTACTTAAACTTACTTTTTTAAAAGTTGGCCTCTGATTTTCTTTCTAAGCACTGTTTGTGGCTGAACTGCTTAGAAACAGCAAAAGTACAAACTAAGAAAGAGGAAGTAAAATGTGAAGAAAGAAAAAGGGGAAAATATAACGGGTGGGAAGTTGCCACAGCCCTGAGTCTTAGTCATAACGTTCTTCCTTGTTTTAGCTTCTCCCTTTTTTCCTTTTGGCCCCTCTGTTCTTTCATTCACACTTCTTTCTCCACTTCTGCATGCTGTCCAAGCAGTAATCCTCTTCCTCTCCTGCATCCCCTTCATGCCTCCCTAGTACACTCATTGAATGAGGGCCAGTAGTGGCAACTCTCCTTGCAGTTGACCCCACCTCCCAGAATTGATAGAGCAATGGAGAGGGAACTATTTTAGCCATTGGTCATGTCAACTACTGCCACTTCTGCCACCAACTGAAGTGCTCTGGGAACTCCATCCCTGGAATAGGGCAGGCGTACACTACAGAATTACTTTGCTATAATTACATTGATCAGGGGTGTGAATTTTTCACACCTCTGAGTGATGTACTTATAGCCACCTAAGCGCCAGTGTAGATAGCGCTATGTCAGCGCGAGAGCTTCTCTTGACCACATAGCTACTGCTTCTCGTGGAGGTGGACTAACTATGCTAACGGGAGAATTCTCTCCCATTGGTGTAAAGTCTTCATGAAAGTGCTACAGTGGCACAGCTGCATTGGATGCAGTTTTAAGTGTAAACCTGCCCTAAGTCTCCTAGGTTAATAGCCTTAAAGACATCTGTGATTGTTATGCTTGAGTGGGGTTTTTTTTCCCTCACAAAAATGGCGCATTTGTACGTTCTTTTCAAAATAAGGTACCTTGTTCTGCTCAACTGTGTGAGAATGTGGCCTTCACAGTGCAAAACATGAATTGTTTTCTCTACTTGCAACAGAAATAATTGCATTTTCCAGAGCCTTGAATTGAAGGAGAAATTCTTATTCCATTTTATTGCAACTCGCTCTACCTTACTGTGACCCAACTATGTTAAAACACTAACTAGAACACCAGGATTAAAAACCCTTTAAAGATCATAGATTGTATTAGGGCAGCTTTGTACCACTCTCGTGGTGCAAAATTTAAAAATTACTTCTTAAAGACCCAAATCTTCTTTTTCTAATAAATTAAATATAAAGTTTAAGTTCTTCTTGCAGTACTGTGTGCTATTTGGTTAAAGAATGCCCTCTTTATCATATTGATGGTGGGTGGATGCACTTAACAGAGTGGCTACATCTCATACCCATGCTAGAATCTAATTCATTGTTTGTGTCATCAAAAGCCATATACCAGAAGAAGGAAAAGCATCAGCTACCAAGTTGTTGGTATAGCAGCTCAAGAAGATATCTCTGGTACTGAATTAACCCACTGCCCACTTAGGGAGAGCATAACAGAGCCAGGGCACTCCTGACAGGATGACCCCTGTCTTGGAAGCCATGTATTCCTTGTCTGCATCCCTACTGGGGCACAATAGGGACTCCTCCTTCCATTACTTTTGGGTTGTACAATGCAAGTCAGAAATGGATCTGTAAGGGACAGCAGTATATGACCTAGGGCTCATGGGGAATATCCTTCCTGATTTTACACGCGCACACACCACCATGTGTCCCTCAATCCAGTATCCATACTCATATCAGCTCTGGCTTGACTGGACACCCATGGGAGTGCAGCTGTATTCATGAAAGCCTGAGTAATCTGCCTCCTTGTGGATTAGATACTGCTGCCCAAAGAGGCAGTATAAACTAACAAGTCAAGTCAGCTAGTGCAGCCTTAGAGCCTCAAAGTATCAGGAGGAAAGTGATGAATGCTACAAGGGGAAGAATGAAGCAGTAAATTAACGTTGTCTTTAGCTGATGACTTCAAGGCATTCCAGGACCTCATCAGATCTATGGCAGAGACTCTAGATACACCTCTGGAAGTGGTGCAGGAGAAACCTTTCAAACTCCTGCACATTTTACACACTTCCATTGCTGGCAGGCTCGTGAGCTGATCCTCATTTATAAGCAAGACAAAAGACCTGCGACATGCGCTAGCTTCCATTTTGGCTACATCCAAGGGGGCTGACAGGAGATTCCACATCCCTTCCAAAGAACTTGGGGTACTTTTATTCCCACTCAGTATCAAAGTTGTTTCTGGAAGCTGCGGTCCAAGAGAGATCAAAGTGGCAAGAGTCTCCCAAATCTATATCTAAGGGGACAAATATTTAATATTGGCCTCTTCAATCTAGCAGAGAAAAGTATAACATGATCCAATGGCTGGAAGTTGATGCTAGACAATTCAGACTGGAAAGAAGGTGTAAATTTTTAACAGTCTCAAAAATTGTGGTGGATTCTCCATCACTGGCAATTTTTAAAATCATGATTGTATGCTTTTCTAAAAGATAAGCGCTAGGAATGATTTTGGGGAAGTTCTGTGGCCTGTTATCAGATGGTCAGGCTAGATAATACCAGTGGTCCCTTCATCCAATGTTTCAAGTTCAGAATGGTGACTCTGACCTCTATAGTTCCCTCATTAGATCCCTGAAGAGTGTTTTGTGGTTCTCAATCTGCAAGATGTCTATTTTCAGATATCCATTCATCCAGCCCACAAGAAACTTTTTGGATTCCTAGTGGAAACATCTCTCTATCAGTACAGGTCCTGTGCTCTCTGCACTTTCACTATAGAGATTGCACTACAGTACTTGTATTTTTCAGTTCACCTCATACTATTTCTTTTTATCTTTTTTACAGTGCAAATATTTGTAATAAATAAAGTTAGCATTGTACACTTCGTGTTCATGTTGTAATTGAAATCAGGATATTTGGAAATGTAGAAAAACATCCAAAAATATTTATAATAAATTTAAATTGGTATTCTGTTTAACATTGCGTTTAAAACTGCGATTAATAGCAACTATTTTTTAATCTAGTTTTGTTAGTCGCTTGTTAACTGCGATTAATTGACAGCCTTACTTTAAAAGTACAGTGTTCTGTATCTGAAAGATACTTATGTAAAGATCTTCAGATTTTAAAGTTTGTGTTGTATGGACTAAACTGCTTTTCCAAAATGCAAAAATATACTGTTACTGTGTGTGTATGTGTGTGTGTATATGTGTATGTATGTGTGTATATATATATATATATATATATATATATATATATGTGTGTGTGTGTGTATGTGTGTATATATATATATATATATATATATATATAAAAATACAGTAACAGTATATTTTTGCATTTTGGAAAAGCAGTTTAGTTATATATAACCTCACTACAGCATTAAACTCCAAGTGCAGTCGGTGTGTATGTAACTTGCAGGATTTTTTTAATATTAAAGCAAACAGTTTCCAACGAAGTGGGCATTCACCCACGAAACAGTTTCCAACGAAGTGGGCATTCACCCACGAAAGCTTGTGCTCCAATACATCTGTTAGTCTTAAAGGTGCCACAGGACTCTGAGTTTTAGGAAGGTTGGTTCTGCACACTTACCAGTGTTTTCTTCTTTTGTTTTTGTAAGAATGAAGCCACGAAAAATTAAAGAAGATGATGCTCCAAGAACGATAGCATGTCCTCACAAAGTAAGTGAAACTCTCAGAACTTAAAGCATTTCAGTGGTCAGTCACTTGTGGAACTGAATTTTGGGTGGCTCACTTTTTTTCTGTTAGGGAAGGACTAAGCTGAATATTTGTATTAAAGCTAAATATTGAGGCCTATTACTTTAAATACAGTTGCCTCTTTAGGTGCTTTCCAGATGCTAAAAGATTTCCTCAACTCTCCCTACAAACTGTGAATGTCCTAACACAAAAGGGAACCTTGTTTGCATGTAAGGTGATCATAGGAGTATGGCAGGACCCTTTGTCCCAGTAATGTAATTTTCCGTCTGATTACATGAAATCCTCATTAATCCTCTAGACTCCACCCGAACTATATTCCTTTTAATTTCTGTACTGCTTTTGTCTCGCACCTGGGTTCATGATATTGAGAACTTGGAGGCTCATTGGAGAACTTCATTCAGTAAAGATCAAGGATATGTGTATGTTGCAGCTGGGAACTAGCCTCCCAGCTCAGGTACACAGATTTGTGCTAGAAATAGCTGCGTGGGCATTGTGGCACTGGCAGAGGCTCAGGCTAGGCACCTGAGATCAAGCTTCTCTTAGGCCTGGTCTACACTACGACTTTAATTCGGATTTAGCTGCGTTAATCCGAATTAATCCTTAACCCGTCCACACAACGGAGCCAGTTACTTCGAATTAAAGGGCACTTAAAATCGATTTCTGTACTCCACCCCGACGAGCGGAGTAGCACCAAAATCGATTTTGTTAATTCGAATTAGGGGTAGTGTGGCCGCACACCACCGAATTAATGTGGTTAAAAACCGAATTAATGTGCTTAGTGTGGCCGCGCACAATCGAATTTATACAATCTGTTTCCCAAATTCGAATTATTTAAATTCGAATTAATCTCGTAGTGTAGACGTACCCTTAGGGGAATTCTGTGCCACTGCACAGTGCAGAAATTTTCAGAAATTAATGTTGTGCACGCAGAATTTCCTTTTTTTCCTCATAGAAATGGACTGCAGAGATGTTGGCCGCCAGTAGAGGCCACTGGACCCAGCACAAGGCTAGGGGGAAGAGGAGGGAATTGGAGGGTTCCCAATAGCTGCAGTTGTCAGCATGCCCTGAAGGAAGGAAGTGGCAGCTTGCAAGTCTTGGACCCAGCATCAGGCTGTTTCTCCCTCTGGTCTCGGGGGAGGGAGGGGGGTAAGAGGGTGAGAGTGTCTGGGCGTGTGTGTGTGTTGGGGGGAGGGGGAGTGTGAGTGTCTGGCCCCCTGGCTGGGTTCTGGGAGGGAAGGGTGCAGAAGAACTGGGTTGTCGTAGGGGTTTCTTTAACACTCTACTCATGGGGGAATTTTTGACATGTATTTTGAAATAAATTACCAAATAATTGAAACTGGCATGATTATATAGTGTTGTTTTTTGACACAATCTGCAGAATTTTAAAATATTGTGCGCATAATTCCCCCAGGAGTACTCAAGCCCACCCTTGCGCCAAGCTTGTCTGGCTAGTGTGAGCCTCTGCCAGTGCCACAATGTCCACACAGCTATTTCTGTCACATTAGTGTGGGCCCCTCTAGCACAAGTCTCTGTCCAAGCTGTAAGGCTGGCTCCCAGCTGCAATGTAGATAAACCCCTAGACCAGTGGCTCAACCTTTCCAGACTACTGTACCACTTTCAAGAGTTTGATTTGTCTTGTGTACTCCCCAAGTTTCACCTCACTTAAAAACGTACAAAATGAGACACAAAAATAGAAGCGTCACAGCACACTATTACTGAAAAATTGCTTACTTTCTCATTTTTACCATATAATAAAATCAATTGGAATATTAATATTGTACTTACATTTCAGTGTATAGTATACAAAGCAGTATAAACAAATCGTTGTCTATGAAATTTTAGTTTGTACTGACTTCACTAGTGTTTTTTATGTAGCCTGTTGTAAAACTAAGCAAATATCTAGATGAGTTGATGTACTCCCGGAAGACCTCTGAGTACCCCCAGACGTACATGTACCCCTGGTTGAGAACCACTGCCCTAGACAATTTAATCATCAGATCTTTTCTGCGGTCACTACTTAAATAAAGGAGAGCACTCTGGTCCCTTCTCTTATGGTTAGCACTTCTGTAAGTTGTCTTTTGGTAGCTGCCATACACTGTTGTTGCAATATCTTGTCCATGGTAATTTAGAATACTTATTTGATGGCATGAACCTGTTCTGAAAACTATCCAAAGTGTATTCCTGAGATCTAGGTGTACCCGGCCTTGATATGAAGTCATTATAGGTTGTGGGGCTTGGTTTCTAGATAGGGTAAGCCTAAGAATGCTTGCCTATGCAGATATTTAATAGTGCACATTACAGATCCGTAACAGAGAGAGATTTGTTCCTTACTAGCCTTGAGCCCAAGCATCTACTCTGGGAACATAGAGCTCCTATTCAGGGGCTCTATATTTTTCAGGATGTAGGTTCACCTTTCCTTATTGTTGTACTTGGAGACCCAGAGTTAAATTATTCTTCCTCTGAGGAGAGATGTTTGTTCTTCACAACTTTATACTTCTGATAAACCATTACATTGTCTACATTAAGTGGGAGAAGAAAAGTAATGCTTCCTTATTGCTTCTCTTCCACTCCCAAAAAGTTCCTTTATCAGTGTAGAGGTAACTCTTAGGACAACTTTGTTACTTCTGGGTAACCAAGAAATACCTCTTAAGACTTTCCTTCTCCTTTCCACTGAGTAGTTGGGATTTTAAAATCAATATAAATAGTTTTTTCATGCCACCCATTTGTGAAGTTTAACTTTTGAATAAAGACAAGGAAATCTTGAAGCCTGTTAGTCAAAGGGATTGTGAAGCCTGTGGGGAAAACTTTTTTATTTAGAAGTGGTGGCTCCTTGGTTTTTCAGAACTTGAGACATATTCAGATACAGTTATTGCCAGTTTGGCAGAAGTAACTCCCAAAGAGGAAGCCTGCACAATTGCAGATTGGAAGGTGGATCACTCAATCAGTTGCTGTTTTCAAACTTGTACTCCATGCAGTTATGGTACTACCAGTTCTGAGTTATTTTCATGTACACTTCAAAATTCATATGGGATCTGAAACTCATTGACAAAACTTAAGAATTTATGAAAGTTTCTGACATCCTTTGAGGGACCTTTGACAGCTGAGTTCATCTGTATTCCCATCTTACGTTTATTCAACTGGGAAGCCCTGGTAGCTCAGTTAATTTAGCTGGGTTGAATTTGTAAGAAGCGTGTCTGTCTTTACCATGAAATGCAGTTTTGATCCCACAAACCCATTGCCCCATCCTTTATGCTGGATAGAAGAGGTAATTTTTTTTGGTATGAGTGACTAAGAAAGTCATCTGGTTGGAGCTTCTGTGTATGTAGGGCCCTATGAAATCAGTTTTATTATGGATTTTTGGATTTATTTTAATTCTGTGTGTTTTTTTCCATTTTTAAAATAATTCCACCTTTATGGTCTTTTACATCAAAATTGTTTGATTGGCAACAATTAAGTAGCCTTACTGTAAATGTATTAAAATGTTCAGAATTGGATTGCAATGGGAAAAATTGATTTTACCAAAAAAAAATATATAATAATAATTCTACAATCTAAACAAAACATCTGGCAGATATACAGTATAAGCTAAAAGTAATACATTTTAAATTGCTTTTTAAAGTAGCATTTGGTAATATGACCAAACTGACATTGCTGAACAGTAACACAAGAAGTCCACAAAACTGTTGGGAGTGTCGGCACAGTCTCTCTTTAAGCAGAGCAACTCACCAGCCTGAACACTTGTTTAGACGGCAGCTGTAGCAATCACTCCTGAGCCAGAGGCTGGTGTACAGACAGGTGCCCCCCTGTTCTCCCATGTGGCTCAGTGGAGACTGTGTACACCAGCGGGGGGAAGGAGACACCCCAACATCAGCCCCAACCCCCGGGCCGGCTGTGCACAGCAGATCAGAAGGCTTGACTCTTAGTCTGCCTGCCCCTGCGGTCCAAATGCTGGGGAGAGCAGAATTCCGCATTAATGTTTTGATTCTTTGATTCTGTCCATGTTCTCATTAATGCGGATTTCATAGGGCCCTATGTATGGTAGTTAGCCAAAGAGGTATTAGGGGACTTTTTCATAATCCATTTGGCTTGTTATTTCTGATGTAATGGCTTATGTATGAAATATGAAGCCTCTAGATTATTAACATTGTAGCTAGTCGTCATCCTTTTGTAGACTAGATTTGTAAAGAGGTGCTTTTTCAGAATGATTACAGAGTCTGGGCTTGCTCAGTGGTATAGAAGGTGAGGCTGCCTGATAGTGTTGGGGGAGGGATTCAAGAGACACTGGCTCTACTCCTAGTTCTGTCACTGGCCTGCTGGGTGACCTTGGGCACGTCACTTCACCCCTCTGCCTCTGTTTCCCCATCTGTAAAATGGGGAGGATATTGACCACTTTTGGTAAATCCTTTGAGATCTGATGAAAAAGCTAGTTGGTAATATTTATAAGTAATTAACTTCTGTCCCTCATCTGTCTATTGGTTGGTGTTTAGTGGTATTTAAAGTTGGCAAGGGGATTGGAAAACATTCCATTAAAAAAGGATGCCTAGGGGGTGGCAGAAGCAGCAGGCAAACAAAGAAGGAATAGAGCACAGTCATCAGTAAGGAAGGGGATAGAAGAAATGTGTGGTGAAAGAGTTGGGAATTTTAAAGGTAGCATGAATTTTGAACAAATGATATCTGGGACAACAGGATTCTGTAAAAATGATCATAATTCTCTATTTTCCAAATCTCAGCAACCAGTAAAGATAGAATGGGAAATTCATAGATTAGGGGTGCAGAAAGGGAATAACTCAATCAAGAACCGTTATGTCTAGGTAGGACTTCAGCATAATTTTGTCTGTCTTTAGTCTCTCTGCAAATGCAATATTCAAAATATAAGTGAATCTGCAGAGGCGGGATCTTCAAGAAGCGGGGGTGAGTTCCCATTACTTGAGGTTATAGAGTCTTGTTGCTCAGGAGTGAGATCTGTATTCTGCCTTCCTGTGATGCAGCTACCAGGTGTTGGTCTTCAGGCTTCATGACCCAGCAGCACCAGATGTATCTTTCCCCCTCCCTAGAAACCACACAGCTGTTACCTTTGTAATTCTAGTCAATTCATCAGATTCATTCTGCTCTCAGTGCATTATGGAATAGATTTCTTCTGTAGCTGCTGTGTCTTGGAGACCCTCTTGCTTCTTTCTCTGTCAGGAACGGGAAACAGACAAAGAAAGAAGAAAGAGGGACAGTAGGAGATGGACAGAGCCAGACATCACTTGCACAAAGAATATGGGGCCCACCAAAGGTAGCGGTGGACTACCATCATTTTACCTTTTGCTAGCCCTTGGACTACCATAAATTTTGTTCAGTTTGTTCACCTGTGCTTTAATAGCATATAATCTTCTGGGGAAGATGCAGTGTGTGTTAATAAAACTTGACTGCATGTAGTACACTAATGTTGTATGGGTGAGTAGAGGAGTTGGATCCCCCCCCCCCCACTTCTTAAATTGATATTTACTGGCTGTCCATAGTAAGAGTTTGAGATTAATTTTACTGTAAAAGTTTCATTTTTAACCTCCTAAGTCAAAGCAAAATATGTATCAATGTGAGGGAGTATGTCTTTCCAGGGCCAGCTTCTATTTTAAGGTATTTTTCCAGGGAAAAGGGGGTGGGTAACTAAACTTTCATCTACTAAAATGCTAGACATTTTATTATCGGAACTTGTTTATATATTTACTAAGTTTTTTTATTATTCTCTTTAAGGGCTGCACAAAAATGTTCAGGGACAACTCTGCTATGAGGAAGCATCTGCACACTCATGGTCCTCGAGTACACGTATGTGCAGAATGTGGCAAGGCCTTTGTGGAGAGTTCCAAACTAAAGCGACATCAGCTAGTTCATACTGGAGAGAAGCCCTTTCAGGTATGGCCACTTTCGAGACATGCAGAGTATTCCAGTTTTAATTTAAAAAAAGAAAGGGGGGGAGGGGGCGCGAGAGAGACTGCTTACCTGGCTTCCCTGCCAGTTGAGGCAAGGAAGCACCTTGTCTCAAAATAAAATTGCACGTGGTGACTTGACATGCAAAATCAAGACATGATCCAAAGTCTGATACTAATATCCGCCTTTCCATTGACTTTAGAGGGCTTTGGATCAGATCCTTAGAGAAATTAGAATAAGTTCTCTGTTCGCTAATTATTAATGCTTAGACAAAATTATGATTGTTTATTTCCAGGTATATTTTGGAAGTGGAGTGCATTGTAGCACACACATCAGCACATTGAAATGTAACTATCATTCTAGCCTACTTTAAGATTTTTGGAAAACTTGCAAGAAAATTAGACTTTGAATACCATATTTGAGGAAACTCTCATTGCTTCCTCTTTTTCAACATGATGTATTTTACCAGTGTAAACAAGGCCTCAGGTTATGCTCATTAGGCTGTGTAAATGGAATGTCTTCTACTATTAAGAGTCATACTATGTAGCTTGGCAGATTAAGACTGCAAAGCTGGATCACAATATATTAATTGTGTGGATTTTTGTTTTCTTTAGAGGCTGTTTTTGCAACACATTTGTAAACAAACTGCCTGAATATCTTTGTTAAAATCTGCAGTGGGGATACTCCCTGTGGGGGGGAGAAACTGTTTCATTCTCTCTCCTTTTTTTTTAATGTCCCCCATGTTGTCAGCGGACACTTTTTTTTTTTTCTTGTGCTGTTTGATGCATCATTGGCTAATCAGAATGCTTAACTTTCAAGTTGAGTGTTAATCAACTTAAAATTAAAGCCATGAACTCTACCCACTGAATATCCTCTGATGCTACGACAATGTAGGAGACGCTTGAGCTCCTGCCACCAGAGGTCCCCAGCCTTCTTCATATGGTAAATATCATTCAAAAATTACTGTAGACTCTGAATTACACAACATGCAGAAATAACTGATGCACATCAGTTCAGTTAAGATATCTTATTTTAATTTGTTCCTTCAAGAAAGTAATCTGTCACAAGACACAAACTGATATTCTAAAAATGAGATTCTTTAATACAGAAAACCTCCAAACCTACCACTGCTTCTGGTTTTAGAAAAGCCATTAAATTTAATATAGTTTTCATAGAAGGTAATGCCTTGAATTCAGTAAGTTGTGGGGTTGTTTTTTGTTTTCCCCCCTAGAAATAAATATTCCTGTGGCTGTGGAGTTTTTATTCATACATTTATCTGCTTTTATTTGTAGCAAAAAAAAAAACACCACACACTCTGATCCAGGCTCTTGTGGCTCTTTATGTACATTAAGAACAATTGTATAAGGCATGAGTTAGCTTCTCATCTCTCCCCTGCATGGCAACAACTCATAAAATAAATATCTTATCTGAACAGTAGCCCATCTGACCCACAAATAACCCATATTGTGCTGTGCCCTTCTCTTCCCAAAAACATGGTGGAAATTTTAGTCTTTGAGTCCCTGCAATAGAATGGAGTCTAGCTGCTTTTTGGAGCAGGAGGGAAGGGGGGGTACCAAATTCTAAAGCTGAGGGCTTCTTCTTTAACTGAGAGTTAAAGAAACCCCTATGACAACCCAGTTCCTGTTTCTCTGCTCTGCCCCCCGAGCCCAGCCAGGGGACCAGACACCCACAATCCCTCTCCTCTCTCCCTCACCCCCTCCCATCCCAGCCGTGGGGCCCACCCAGACACCCACTCCCAGAGCCCAGGGATCCAGAGGGAGAAACCGCCTGATGCTTAGTCCCAGGCTTGCATGGAGTTTCCTGTGTGCTGCCCTCTCCTTCCCTCAAGGCATGCTGGGAACTGTAGCTGCCAGGAACTCTCTAGCTCCCTCTCCCTTCCCCAGCAGTGTCTATGTGTGAGCTGTGCTCTGCTGGGTCCAGTGGGAGCTAGCAGGCACTGTAGCCCATTTCTGTGGGGGGGAAAGGAAATTCTGCGTGCACAACGTTAATTTCTGCAAAATTCTGCACTGCGCAGTGGTTCAGAATTCCCCCAGGAGTAAAAGAGGGAATGTGTAGAGAAAGTGCTTACTTTTTGCAAGCTTGGAGCTTTGCTTTCTTCAGAATTTTTCTTCACAGCAGTATACTGTGTACATTGCAGCTATTTGAGAAAAATACCAGCCATCAGTTTTCTCTTTAGGCTTTCACTAAAAAAATAAACTTCATATGTTAAATAAGATGTAATGAATGCAATGTTGATATGCTAAGACCTGCAATTATTTCTCAGGCAAAGCTCTCACTGGTTCTACTGGGAGTTTTCAGGGAAAATGGACTGCAGGATCAGGACCTAATATTTATAAAGGGAATCCAGTAACGCAAGCAAGAAACTTTTGCTGACTTACCAAGTGTCTGTTGCTCCTGTTGAGAATGTTTTTAATCTATGACCTTTCCTTTCAACAGTGCACGTTTGAAGGATGTGGAAAGCGATTTTCACTGGACTTCAATTTACGCACACATGTGCGAATTCACACTGGCGACAGGCCCTATGTGTGCCCGTTTGACGGCTGTAATAAGAAGTTCGCTCAATCAACTAACCTGAAATCTCACATCTTAACACACGCTAAGGCCAAAAACAACCAGTGAAAGTAAGCTAGAAGAAAGCTCTTGAACTCTCAAAGCATCTTACAGGAGTATGGGAATAAATATGCCTCCCCTTTGTATATTGTTTCTAGGAAAGAATTTTAAAAAAGAACCCTACCCACCTAAAGGACATGTTTTGATAAAGTAGTAAATAAATAAATACAAACTTTAAGATGACGTTACTAAGATGCTCTACCTTGCTCTGTAATCCAGTTTCAAGAACACGGTGTTTTGTAAAGTGTGCTCCCAACAGGAGGGGACAATTGATGAACTTGCATCAAAAAGAGACAATTCTTTATACAACAGTGCTAAAATTGGACTTCTTTTCACATTCTTATAAATATGAAGCTCACCTGTTGCTTACAATTTTTTTAATTTTGTATTTTCCAAGTGTGCATATTGTACACTTTTTGGGGATATGCTTAGTAATGCTATGTGTGATTTTTCTGGAGGTTGATAACTTTGCTTGCAGTAGATTTTCTTTAAAAGAATGGGCAGTTACATGCATACTTCAAAAGTATTTTCCTGTAAAGAAAAAAGTTATATAGGTTTTGTTTGCTATCTTAATTTTGGTTGTATTCTTTGATGTTAACACATTTTTGTATAATTGTATCGTATAGCTGTAATGAAATCATGTAGTATCAAATATTAGATGTGATTTAATAGTGTTAATCAATTTAAACCCATTTTAGTCACTTTTTTTGGAAAAATACTGCCAGATGCTGATGTTCAGTGTAATTTCTCTTTGCCTGTTCAGTTACGGAAAGTGGTGCTCAGTTGTAGAATGTATTGTACAGGCACTGACCTTTTATTAACACCTGATAATATGTACATCCCATGTAATAGAAAGGACAACAATAAAACAGTGGTCCTAAAGAAAGAGTATGGCAGAAGATGATCTGTAAGCACAGTCTATTTTCTTTTTTTGTCCAGAATAATTATAGTTCTTGAACCTCCCAGAAATTGGAAGCTTAAATAAAACTCAAGTTTCCTTTACTTTGCATTCAATTACAATGATTTTTGATTAAGTAATACATCTGTGGCAAAATATAATATACCGAAGGTGGTAATTTTAGTCAGAATTGATGACCGTAATCCTGGGTTTGGGAGTGATTTGGACTCCTACTAACTGGAATAATGGAGTTGGAAACAGTTTTTTCAGCACCCACAGCCAGCCAATCAGTGGAACAATACCATGTCTAAATTTATTGTGCTTCTCTCTTTAATCAAGGTAAGGGGAGGGTGGAGTGGAGGTGTGTGGGTGCCTGCTTCTTTTCTTAGTCAAGGTAAAGGTGGGTGGGGTCAATGGTGACACCAGAATATTGAGAGAACCCTTTGTTGTTTGTTTGGGCTAGCCTTCAATTTTGGACCAGGTGCAGTAATGAGGATCCAATGTTTGGAGCAAGGAACAAAGACCATGAAAATTCCCAATAAGTTTTAACGTACACAATATTCTTTTGATGGTCTAATCAGAAGTGATTTCTAACATTTTGTTACAAACGTTGAGTAATAAATCTGTGTACTGTACTAAACAGTGAAAGAGTGACAAAGACAGGAATATGCACAAAAAATGCATAGGTATTGTTTTAAAAGAATGTCCAAAAAAAGGTTTAACGTTGTTCTAAACAGTGTCTGATAGTAAAATGTTTGTAGATATCAATCTCTGCATCTGTGTTACAAGACTATAATCCATCAAACTTTACAAGATAAAAATTAGGTAGCAAAACTTTTTTCCAAGTTGTTGGACTTTAGTTTCAACTAGTAATGTTAAGTGCTTGCACAACACACAGGCCATTTTACAAATAGCAAGGAAGGATTTTCATCTACAACTAATTCAATTTTATTCCTAAAATAGACCCTGCATCTCTGGCTTCAGGGGCTTTTTAGGGGTAGAAGATAGTGGTGTGGTTGGGTAATTTAAAAATGTGCGTTGGACTATTTAAGGCAATACTAGTTTGGTTTTTTGTGTTTTTCCCACACATGGCTACATTTTTGGGAGGCAGTGGCAAATAGTTCATAGTTAACTTCTATTTAGCAACTTTCTACAGGAACTGATCATCATTGTAGTTGCATAAATGTGGCATTTTGTTTTTGAAAGGGGAGAAGAACAACTTAGTCTAGTGTTATCTAAGCAAATTTTATCTGTATTTTAATACAGAATGCATGGCGTCTGAGCATCTCCACTAAAGAAGGTACCGTATATACTCGTTCATAAGCCGAATATTTTTGGTAAAAAAAGTGACGCATCAGAGAGCGGGGTCGGCTTAAAAACGGGTCTACACCAAAATTTGATGATTTTAAACTCTATGGAATCATTGAATTGAATATCTAGTACAGGGATCGGCAACCTTTGGCACGCTGGCCACTGCTTCCTGTTGCCCCCATTGGCCTGGAGCGGTGAACCGCGGCCACTGGGAGACGCAATCGGCTGAACCTGCAGACACGGCAGGTAAAGAAACCGGCCTGGCCCACCAGGGTGCTTACCCTGGCGGGCAGCAAGCCAAAGGTTGCCAATCCCTGATCTAAAACATTGTAGTTTTTGTTTACTTGGGAGTGTCTGCAGGCATGGAGCCCCTCAGCTCCCTGTGGCTGCGGTTCCCCGTTCCCAGCCAATGGGAGCTGTGGGAAGTGGCACTTCCCACAGCTCCTATTGGCTGGGAACGGCGAACCGCAGCCACAGGGAGCTGAGGGGCTCCATGCCTGCAGACACTCCCAAGTAAACAAAACGTTCCAACCTGCCAGCGGCTTACCCTGACAGGCCGGGAGCCAAAGTTTTCCAACTCCTGAAATATAGGGTGGGCTTATGAAAGGGTCATACAGTTTATTTTTACCTATCCATTTTGGGGGGTCAGCTTATAAACGAACGGGCTAATGAATGAGTATATACAGTATATTCCTCTTCCCCCCCTCTCCCCCCATTCCGTGGGAAGTGGTATCTATTTTGTTCAATGTGGGTGTGTTTTTTTTGTTTGTTTTTTTTTGAGGCTGGCTTAGGATGAAGCATGTATTGCACTTCATCTTTAACTAGTTTTGTCATTAGAACAAGAATGCCATTTGAGGCCAGGTTATTTAATTGTATTCTGTATTGGTCTGTTTGTTATCTAGAAACACAAATCCGCATTGTCACCCAGTGTATATACGGTGTATGAGAAAGCGGAGATCCATTGAGCAGCTTCGTCGGAGTATTGGATCCCCTGAGTAGATGCTGACTCTTGTTACCAAAAAGAAGAGGTTTCTCACAGTTGTGCTTACGTAGCTCTGGTGATGAACAATTAGGAATTCCTATAATCAAATTGAATAAATCTTAATTATAGAAGCTATTAAAATAAATTCACTTCTTGGAATAGCTTTTAAAAATATAATTGGCACATCTTATTCTTAAAGCTCCTTTCACTTCACTGATTCAGCAGCTCCCATTGTGGACTCTGAGGATATTGCAAGCAGGAGGAAGTCAACCTTGGGAAACCAACACTGTCTGTCTGCTACCACAAGAACCTGCATCATGCCACCAAGCCTGCAAGCAAGTTGAGGTAAGGGGAGAAGAACTTTTCTGGGGCCCCACACTGCAACCATTTGTAATTGCCAGGGAGTTTCAGGGAGGGCTTTTGTGTTTGTGCCCTATGCATCATGCTCGTTTCATAGCCCAGTTACTCTTTCACTCCCTGTATTCCAACTAACTGTCACATAGTCAGCAGAGAGAAGGGGGGGAACTTTAGTTATGCTTGTGTGTGGGTTAGGACTCTGGTTCCCAAAGCTTGCATGTCTTTGGGCTCAAAATAGTTTTAAAAAAGCCCCGGCTAATTTGCAAAAGCTTTCTATCATTTTCACTGTCTGCCTCAGGAACATCAGCAAATTCATATGGTGTAGGGGGAACCCCACTGTTAGTCACAAAAATTGCTCTGTTTGCCTCATGCTCAGAGGAGGAACTTCACACCAGCATTCTTTCCCTTTTGAGAGCCCTTCTGCCTGAAAGAAAAGAGACAGAGGGCTTGTCTACACTTACTGGGGGGATCAATGAGCAGCAATCGATGCATCGGTGGTCGATTTAGTGGGTCTAGTGAAGAGTCACTAAATCAACTGCAGATTGCTCTCCTGTCTCCTGTACTCCACCGGTTTGAGAAGAGTAGGGGAGTCAACGGGAGAGTGTCTCCCGTCAACATCACGTAGTGTGGACCCCACAGTAAGTAGATCCAAGCTACGTTGATTTGAGTTACGTGAATAGTGTAGCTTAGATCGAATTTCCCTTGTAGTGTAGACAACGCCTGACAAATCTGTTTTCCATCCCATCCCCTTCAATCCTAACATGGTGAATGTGGTTTTATAACAGAACAATGACAAAGAGCTATTTATTTCTCCCTGCCAGGGCTCCTCTTCAACCACCTAGTTTTGACCTAGCTTATTCTGTCCCAATAAGTTGTGGTCCCTGAGGATGCTGTGTTCTATGCGTTAGAGTGGTCATACAAGCAATCTGTTGGTGATACTGCTTCTTCCCAGTGGACATTGGCCCCAGTCTGTCCTGGACTTTCTCCCCACCCCCACAGCAGTCAAATCTTTAAGGAAGATAAGCGTATCGGGGCTTGAATCCAAGCTACCCCTTAGGAATTACTCTTACAAGGAGCCTAAATGTATGTGATTGTGTAGTGCAAGACTTTTTGAAAGGTGACTCTGCCTAAAGTGGGGGCAAATCCAAACATCAAGAAACATAGCTTTCAAAGGACCAGTCATCTAGAAAAGGAAGCTACATCAGTCCCTAAAATTGTGGATTCTAGCTCAGGTGCAAGTGCTCCTGCAATTCCTGGAAAAACATTTTTTGATACTTTAATAATCCTGAATTTTTGTTCTTTTTTTAAAGAGCCAATCCCTCCCCCTTTTTTCCTTCCCAAGGGGATTAATCTAATGGGTCAAATCCCTCAGTTTTGAAAGGGCATGTGAATAACATTCCTTGTTTGGGACTGGATGGCCAGGGGGAGAGAACAGTCTGGTAGGTATTTTAGTTTATTAGAAAAGGTTTCTCTTCCTCCTGATTGGACAACTTTATCTTTCTGGAAATAGTTTTCTACCACAGTTCTTAGTCTCCTCAGCTATGGCAGTGTGCCTGGGTTAAGTCTCCATTACCTCAATTATGCCAAAAAGGGGGATGTCAGCACACTTGAGAGGGGCCAAAAGACAAGAGGGATGTCACATATATTTCCAAAATGTGCTATGAAGGTGAATAGCCCATTGGTACTGGCCTGACTGAGCAGCAGTTCCCTTTGGAGAAAATAAAATTAAGGTAAGGAAGCTTATTTTGACCTCTCTCTCTTCCTTAAGTGGTGTCTAATAATATATATGAACTCTTTAGGTCTTCAAACACACTATGAAGCTTATATGTGGATGTTCTCTATCAGAGTCGTCCTCAGGTGGAAACTTACAGGCAGCTTTCTCAGTGACAACTTACTAGATATTTCCTGTATAGGTCATGAGAGAGACTTTTTTTTTTTTTTTAAGGTGGTGAGGTTGTAGGGTAGTCCACTTGGTCTAGGTAGAGGCTTATCATAGAACTTTTGGGAGTGCTATATAATTGAGGTACTGCACCCCATATATGGAGAGTAATATCTTGTATAACATCTGAGAAAGGGACTAAAAAACCCCAAACCCCTTAAAACATGACTCTCAGTTTCAAACCTAGTCAGTCCTGTTCCTAGTAGGGCTGTCAAGGAATTTAAAAAAAAAAAAAAAAAAAAATCATCATGATTAATTGCATTGTTAAAGAATAACAGAATACCATTTATTTAAATAATTTTGGATGTTTTCTACATTTTTCAAATATATTGATGAGAGAGAAGTTTGTGAGACAAGCTTTTGAGCTTACAGAGAAAGCTCTGTGTAAGCTCAAAAGGTGGTCTCTCTCACCAACAGAAGTTGGTTCAATAAGATATTACCCCACCGACCTTGTCTCTCAGGATATTAGAGACTGACATGGCTACAAGAATACTGCTTACAACAATGTAAAATTA